TTTACATAAAGTTGCAGTGCCATCTACTGGACAAATAAAAAATTAGCATAAAACATATGCTGAATTTCGACAAGTTTGGACAAATATGTGCAATTTAGCATTATGAGGGAGGTGGGAAAATGCTCATTGTCGCTAGGATAAACTTCTTTAGCCAATAAGGCAAACACTAAAGTGTCAATTGGAGATACTTTCCCTATTAGGCAGACAGATAGGGAAAAAAACAAGACGCCATATAAGCTAATGCTACGAAAATTATGTCTGAGAGGAACTTTAAATACTCAGTGAAACATTACTTGTAAACCTCCTGTAAGTTAATGCTGTCTGTCTGAATACATCTTCATAGGCAGAGACAAAGACGATGATCTGTAAGACTCAGTTTTCTGGTTGAGACGACCTTCCCAGCTGCTCCATTCCTACTGTTACAAATTAAAGAGAAATGTTCAATCAGATGCTAAATAGTGAAGCAACAAAAAATGAAGGCGAATAAATCAGTGAAGATACCTTCTACTACATCACAAAAAAAATGATCACAAAAGATCATATTCAGCTAAATTACCAGATAGAAACTGAACAGGACTGCTGCTGGACCAGATCCTTGTTTACATTGTAAAAATTGTTCTGTAGATCCATGTTTGTTTTGAAACACAATTTATCTTCTTACAGAATGACCCTTTATTTCTCCCTCAGTTGTATTATTGGTTTGCATCAACAACAAATCAATTAATGAATTTTATCAGAAGTTTGTTACCTTCCTGTCTCCTGTACATGGCAAATATTTTTCTAATAAAAAATACATTTGATGTCAAAAATTATATTCCACATTTATTAAGACAAAACAGGTCTTTAAAAAATACCCAATATACAAAAATATCCAATAGTTATGATTCTGCTCATCAAATATCTGAATAGTTTGTCATCCAAATTGCAAAGCACTGAAGCCAGTTCTGCTTGTAATTTTTGTATCGTCCAGCTGTTCATCAGAATCTTTTTATCCGACTCTTCTTTACCTGACATTGTGTTAATGCTGGTAATGTAATATAACAGCAGATTTTAATATCTATGTGAACATTGAAAGTAACAGCCTAAGTTAAATGTTTTCACCAAAACATTCATAGACGTAAACATTCCTGTCTGGAGGGCTGCACCAATTGCAGTTTTCTGGCCGATCACCGATTATCGACTTTTTGAAAAGCCAAACTTAAATTGGCAATAATGGGGCGACTATTGTTAACTGTACATGTGCAGACATGACCTGGTCGGCCGGTTTGTCAGTCCAGCCTCTCTCACAGGAGAAAAGAAAAGCACAGTGGTTGATTTTTAGACCTTTGCTGAGGTTGATAAAAGCGGTGAATAAGATCGGCTCCACATGTAAAAATCAGCCGATCTCCCAAAATTAAGGAAATCGGCACCAATAAATCGGCTGGCAGTTAATTTTAATTGAATGCTTTATATCAAACAAACATCTACTTAATTATTAAAGTGAAGGATGTCTTTCGTAACCCTGACATTGTTGTTCCAGAATATAATCCCTGTGAAGCAGCCAACGCCGG